ACACCCTTGGGGTCAGCGACGGCGAAATTCTTGAATAGCTGAGTGACTATAGTCACCATTAATAACTATTAATGTACACCCCTAGCTGTAGACCTATATACCCAGGCCAAGTTCACCTTCAAAATATACCTTTTAAAGATACAGTCTGTCGGGAAAGGTTAGATTTAAAAATACCCTATCATCATTCTTCGAAATTCAATGAGCTGAAGCTGATGCAAAGTATTTCCGCCGTCAAGCATGCGAACTGAAACATTTTTGCAACAAAGATAAGCACAAAATTGTGTTCGAATTGCAGTCAGCATTGTTAAAACGTTATGGCACAATATCAATCATACATCGGCATTGGTTTTATACCATTTAGGAAGAATGGACAGAGATTGCTTTCCTCAATTGGCATTTCGTTAAGAGACCGAAAGGAAAAGAAGATTTGATATGACCAAATCAATTATGGTAATACCAATGACGTAACCCTACAAACTTCATGGTTGTGATGACTGAATCCTGGGTTATTTCAAGTTGCTGTTAAACTGTTATTGGCCAAAAACTTCGAAAGAGATGGATAGCTTAGATGTTGAGTGAGTAGGGATTTGGAAAAGTGTGACGATGCTGTTTTTCTGGCCTGTGATGCCATGTGTACTCACTGGTAGATACCGTTTCGGGGAAGCAATGGGAACAATGGTATCCACCCACGAGTCCACACACACAGCGCAGAAGAACAGCATCATCATCTTCACTGCCGTAAGAATCTCAGATTTCAAAGAATCATAAACGCACGTGTATGTACGTATATAGAGGTGGCGCTCTGTACTTACTTTCGGGAGGCACCGTTCGATTCTCGGCCAGGATATTAAATATTCTGGCACATTTTTCATGTTTTTATTTCAGTCTCTTCAGTGAATGTGTGCGTGCGTGTGCCTATGAAGCCTAAAAGCTATTTGACAGTTGTTTTGTCGAAAACAGAAGTATCAAAGAGAACAGATTGAGCTAGGATTGACGAAATAAACTGGGAAATTGAGGTACTTAATAATTTACAAATTTCGGAGTTAAACAGGTTTTTACTCGTAGCGTGGCTGGGGAGATGGGAAGTAAAAAACATTGACGGGGAAATTTCTTGGTAACCAGTAAATTTGAAACCCAAGACGTAAATTGCATGTAGAATAATACTAATATAAAATCTAAATGTTGTGCTATGGAACCGATTAAGATTTATGATTAAAATAAATGTTCAGAAGGCCATGTTTCCAAAGTCCACATGTTTTTGTATATTATCCGCTTAAAATTATGTGTAAGAATCGTGTAGTAATGATAACAGCGTAGTACTGCGAAGCGAAGTAGGCCTATATGTTACGCACATACAAACTGAAACAGACCATATCGACTTCAACACAAGGTTTTTCTCATTATTAAACAATTCGAATTATCTTCAAGTAAACATGGCAAAGACGAAAATCCAAACAAACGTTCACGAGGTAATCAGAATCTCAGCAAACTGTACACAAAGACGGCTCTTATAGCATAACATTTAATTGATATTACTAATTAGACACTAAATTCGTTTTTTAACAACTGAAGTCGGCTTGTACGTTTAAGACATCCGACCCACTGACGTTTCATACAGCAAAGAAAAAGATCAAAAATTAGTTTTAAAAATCAAGAATGCCCGTATCTCCACAAAACATATTTTTCCACGAAACATGAAATTTCCCGGCTATGATTCATAGCTCTCGATGCCCATCGGAAAATGTCAATGGCCACCCCAATACGATTACAGTCAATATCGTGTTCATCTTCATAGTCATGACGGATCAGATTACAGTCCGATAACAGCAAATGTAAAACGGGAAATTACATGTTTCCAATAAGCTAAAAATCCAGACTCTACGCAACACTTCAAACTTTATTACATACGATGTGATGCAAATTCTACTTATGCTATGCGCATACGTCGCAGAATAAAATGAGTTCCCTATTCAGAGTTGTATAAGAAATGTCACAGCAAATAGACATACTGTGATAAGAAGGCACCTGGTTTTGCGTATGCACGTCACACTGAAGCGATAGACTGCGGTTTCGTCACATCGAATCATTCATTCCTTTGAAACTACGCTACAGAGTTGCATAGCAGTTTCTTTCCTTCATGTGAAACCATATAATTAGGCACAAGAAATAAAGGCATGCGCTTGTGATTGGTAGTTCAGATAGAGGACTTGGTACTGCTTTACGTTGTATTTAGTTAGAATGCTGCGTCATGATACGTCATCATGATGAAGTTGATTTTGTCTGGATTAGATGGCGGAGAATTACGGACAAAAAAAACCTTCATTACTCATTAGTGTAATTACTAATGCGATGGTTACGCCACTGCTTGTACAAATCCAAGTACCTCGACTCTTCTGATTCAGTGTCGAGTTGGAATTAATTTTGTTACTAAGATAGTGTAATTGCGTCATATTGTGAATATTCTAACAATTATTTATTTCAATCCGTCTTATCACAATATTTAAAATTTCTTATAATTAAGATAATAAAATATCATTGATGTTCCATATCGATTGATCGATTTACATTTTGGAACATCTTTTACACAACATGTTTCAATTTTATCAGATGTACATATCGGTCTGTAAGTAGAAGATTGAAAGAAACACTAAAGAATTTGAAAGAATTTATAAAAGAATTTTAGAGAATAAAATGCAAAATATATAAATTATAGTTAGAAAGTAGCAGTAAAATATAAATAAAAATAATATAAAATAAAAGTAAATCTAAAATAAAACATACCTTAGATGTAGGAGTGATTGTTCCGATATTACTAATTATTAACATCTGTGAATGATATTTCAGGAATTTTTTGGAACCTTAACTTTAAGGTGACATATATCATATCATACTCAGTTCAATAGCATGAGAGCACAAAACCTGGCCTTAACTGAGTAAAACAAAGGCAGTAGAACCTGAAGGTTTAACGTGGCTAATACAAAAATCTGCCACTGTAGGCGATCCTGAACTATGTCCACCCACCAGACGCCTCATCAAGAAGCAAGCTGTATAAATCATGAAGTTCCTCTGATGTTCAAATATATAATCATTTTTTTTAAATACTTCGTTTCAAGATCGAACAAAATAACTGAAAAATTGCTTTATACGTTAAGCATTTTAGGAAGAAGGGCTCTTAAAACACGGATTACCGTCGGCTTTCATAAAAGATGGGGAATGTAATCAGTTTTTTTCGTAGGAGAAAAGGCAATCTCCTCGAGTGTGGCTGGACAGCAGACCGCGCACGTGTGTAATTCTAGGCGAAGTAGCAACAATCCCATCTCTGGGATTGGTGGACATTTTATGCGGATGCACAACACTAAGTATAAAAGCAAGAAACCAGCTGCTGTGATTGATTAACGTCGGACTGGCCTCCATTTAGACAAGGTGAAATACAAACAGCAATAAACACACGGTTACATATCGTGAGTTCGTTAAATGAAAACATCAAGAATACGTAATTCTTCGTTTTCCTTATGTCCTACTAATAAATGTCCACGTGTTTATTATAAGTTGCGGAAGATAAATGCTAAAACATGACGTACGCAAATTGCCAATCAAAATTCATAAAACTGAGCGATAGCTTAATCAGTAAGATTACTTGCTATGGACTGGGCAACGGAAGTTCGATTCCCGGTAGAGGCAGACACACTCTGGATCCAACATGTCGGTAAGGACTTTCTTTCGCGATGGAGTGAGACTATGTACCTGAAATCATTGTCCACCCTCCAGATGATACAGAAATAAATATGAAGCAGTGGTGGAATGATACAGATAGGAAAACCGAAGGACTCGGAAACAAACCTGCCACTCTCTTCACCACAAATCACCAATACACTCGCCTGAGCTACGGCACAGCCCTTGGTAAAGACTTCATCTGCGGGCCTACCTTACATAGATCCGTTGGAAACAAAAAGTGAGGTTCAGTTCTCGTGTCAATGATATTAATTTTTGTTATTTACATTGTCTTGACTATTATTGTTGTTGTTGTTGTTATAGTAAGAAATATATATAATTCCAACGATAATGCAGTCCGATTATGGAGAATTAGAAAAGTATAACGAAAAGAAATATGGCAGACGACAGCTAAGCCAAGACAAAGCACCTTCGTTAAAAAAGTTATACTTTCGATTTCCGTTTTCTTAGTCACGGTTTCTAATTCTGCTCAAGGAACTGATATTTGTACGTTTCCACAAAACAACATATTCATCACCAACAGTCCACCAGTTTGCCACGATAAACATACTAGCGTATAACAGACATAGAAAAATTATATAAAATCAATAAAATGAGATTAATATCATAAAGATGAAACTTACTGTTTATGGTGGCCCTCCAAACAGTTACAGAACTTCTTATAAAGGAGCAAAAATCTGGAATAAGAAAGAATAAAACAAATTTAAGTGCTGTCTGATTTACAGAATGTGTTCTAAAACTCTTCCTGCAGAGATGGTGGATCTGAGAGTCTAAGAAGGATTTCTTTGGCACAAGTGTTTTAACCCCCATTCCGGGGGGAGTTTAGTTTCTTACTCAAGGGTTAAAACACTTGAATGAGACACTAAAGATTTTAAAACGCAACTAACCCCCTGAAAAAGCGGTTAGTTTAGTGTCTAAC